CTCTATCACTCCAAGAAACCCATAGAAAACATGCAAACATTACAAACACCAACATCTATTTGGGTCAAGTCGGGGGCAAAGTTGGAGTCGCTTGAAATCGGCACGATTTGCTGACAAAAATCGATAGTGTAAACCCAGCTTTAGGCTGTATCTACGGATTGCGGGTGTCTACGAGGAAACGATTTCGTACGATGATGGGCGAATGTACTGTGTCCGATTTGAGCTCAAGTTGGATGAGTTACGTGTAGTAAATCGTAGGTATTATAAGGCTAGTAAATGACGAATTTCCCTTGTTTATTGATGTCACACTCCTCCCTATTATCTACTCCTGGTAAGATGTATTAAGTAGTATTGCCAATTTAATATGTACAGAATGTGGTAACACCCGCCACTTTACCAGAGCTCACTGCTGGTATATCACACATAATAGTATTACAAGTGACTGTTACTCTCTCTTACAGAAAGCAGGAGGTGACATTAAGAAGAAGAATAAGCCTGATCCTTTTGCCTATATTCCACTCAACATGCAGTCTCTGAACAAAAGGTAATTCCGGGCAATTAAATATGTCAAGCTAAGGTGTAAAATGTTTAAAAAATCTGCTACCAGAGAACTCAATTCTGTCATATACTTTGTATATGCCCTGGCAGGATTTTACTTGATTTTTATATGTATACATATAACATTGATCAATTTCATATTTCAGGAAGAAGGCAAAATTCCAAGGACAGTTCAAGGGCATTATGAAGGGAGTGAAGAAGGGAGCAGCAAAAGGAAGAAAGGGCCGACGGAAGTGAACGAAACATTTAATTGTCATAATCTGCTGTTCATGCTCTTATAATGCTCTTATTTATTCGCCCGTTTGTTGAATTACGTGCTGTAATTTTTGTAGAAATGGGTCTACATACAAATAAAATTCTTACTCATTTGATACAATTTTGCGATCTATTCTTTTTTTAATCATGACAAACATGGATTTCGTGTTTATTGACATTTATGAATATGTTGAGTTTAAATTAACCAGGTTCCATAATATCATGATAATATGATAACTAAAAATTGAAAAGGGGCAACCATAGAAAGAAAATCGCATGATATAAACAAGACATTTAAGAAAATTCCTGAAGATCATATTATATTTAAATAAAATATAATTATACATCTTAAAATAAAATAAAAGATATATAACTGTCTCAGTACAGCTCCAAATGAATGGCAAAAAAAGGAAGCACGAAACAAATTAGCCACGAAAGTTGCACTGCCACAGTAGTAATATTTGTAGTTTGACATTGCAAGTGATATGATAATATATATATATATATTAGCAAAGTTTTCCACCATGCGTTACTGTCTGGTAGTCTGGTTGCTCTTGTGATCAAGCCTGCAGAATTCACCAAATTCTCTCAATCTATGAATAATCCAACGCGCAACCTGCGGTCACCCTTGTACGCCACCTGGGGCACGTTGTCAGAAACAAAATGAATTATCACGGTGTTTCTGACAACGGGCCCCTGGTGGTGGTTATTTAATCGGCAGTCGTCTGCTACAAGTTCGCTGCTGCGCAGACCACCTATCTGAACGTCGAGATCCGAGAAATAATAAAACAGGTATAATAAGTACCGCGGCGCCATCTAGTGGCAATCAATCGCATGCGCAGCGTTAGCAGCGCGCTCAGCCTCTCCTGGATATCGGCTGCTTATGTCCATTATTAGCACAGGTGCGTGCGTGTGCCTGCACACCGATGCTACTACTGCCGCTACACCGCTGTAAGCTCGACTCTCTTTCCTCTCTCTGTGACCAGGAGCGATACACTGATACACCGACTACCTGCACACGCAAGTCGGTTGACATCAAAGGCTTCGCGCTCATCACTGAAGCGGCGGCCAAGCAGTATAGCGTTACAACAGCGGAGTAGGTTTCGCTAGCAGGTAAGTAGCGGTGTTCTGCTGTCATGGCTTCCTGCGTGCATCATAGTAGCAGGAGAGAACGATCGAGCGCGGTGTTGTTGCTGATGGTGATGTTGCTGTGAACAGGGTTGCGCTGCGTCATAGACTCATAGCTAACACACGAGGTCAAGCTGTACACGAGTCTCGATCATTCTGTAATTAGCAGAGGTATAATCAATACAGTGTCGTTTGCAGATATTATTTCGTGTACTGTATATCCGCGTTAGCCGCGGCTTATTAGCTTATTGAAAATATTATACACAAATATATATAATATATATAATAATATTATATATATATATATATATTAATATAAAGAGACATAGGAGGAGAGGAAGCGACTGAAAGAGAATGCAAATAATTAAGAGAGAGAGAGAAAGAGAGAGTACGTGTCTACGTGTGTGCGCGAGTGTGTGTGTGTGTGTGTGTGTGTGGGGGTGTGGTTGTGTGTGTGGTCTGTGTGGTAATGTGTGTGTGGCGCTGCTGCGCGTGCGTGCGGCGGCGGGGCAGCTTGCTTGCTTGTGCGTGTGGGTGCTACTTGAGTGTGGGGTGCGTGGCATGCGTGTATTTAGTCATTAATATATATATAAGAGAGATGAGATGAGAGGGACGAGAGAGAGAGAGGAGAGACTGAAAGAGAATGAGAGTAACTAAGAGAGAGAGTGTGAGTCTGTGTGTGTGTGCGCGTTGCGTTGTGTGTGTGTGCGTGAGTGCTGATGGCGTGGTGCCGTGCGTGTGTATGTATGTACTATGTATGCGCCAGCGCGCGGTGTTGGCTGTGTGTCGACTGTGGTGATGGTGTGCTGTGTGTGTGTGTGTGTGTGATTGTGTGTGTGTGTGTGTTGTGTGTGTATGTGTGTGTGGTGTGTGTGTGTGTGTGTGTGTGTGTGTGTGTGTGTGAGTGTGTGTGTTTGTGTGTGCATGCGTGCGTGTGTATTCGCACGCGCGTAAGTTGGGTCACTCCCAGTCATTAATACGTAGTTCGATACTTATATTCATGCACCGCTATGCGCTGTACCCAAACAGAATGCGTGCTAGAATGCAATAAACTCACACCTCTCCCCTTCCACTCTCTCTATTGATTGGGCTCAGGTAAAATGGCAGCAGTTGATGGCTATAACCAGTCGGCCTACGCAATGGGATATGATAATATATGTTTAATTAGTGTGTTTGCGTGAAAACATGCAGTTGCAGAGCGCACATGCAGTTGCTGGATTATCCTTGAGTTTACGGCATCATTGATTGACGGATATTGTTGATATCGCCTATGGATCACGCACCCCATCAAAACACGTCGTGTATTTTGTTCATTGTACATATCGTACAATATAGAGATTTTATTCTCTATTATGTACTCTTGATGGTATCTAGGCCAAGAATAACAAACGTTCGCACACGTAACACGCGAGAAGCATTTCAACTGGCCGTTATAACATCGTAAACGTGCGTAAATGTCGCCCCTGTTTTTGCAAACCTGTTCTCAACGTTATCTCGGTTGCGTATAACTGCTGGTGGACCGACCTGCGCAAATATAGCGTAGTAATCGTCTCATCCGCCCGCCGCATGCATCAACGCGTGCCGCGAGGGCAAAACCTGTCAACCTGCTATTTGTTGGACAAATCTTGGGTTTATACTGACGCGCGCACAGGAAATGATATCTGCTGGAACCTCCCATTCGGTCTAGGGCGCGTGGTGGTGGTGGTGAGTGAGGGCGATGGCACATCAGGATAGCCTTGTCGTGTGTCGCCTATTTGAATAGGGGAAAGTTTGTCGAAGACAATGGTGGCGTTTGTGTATTGTTGATATCCTCCGTACTGCTTGGTCGGAGATGAGCCACTAATTCCGGAAACAACAGATAATTGTTGGCAACAGATGACAGGGAGTGAGAGTGCGCCAAATAGAAAGTGCGTGAGAGAGTTGTGTGTAATGCTAGGTTCACGCTGGCGATTTTTTGTCGTAGAATCGAGAAATTTGCGCGATTTTCAGCGATTTTTCGATTTCCCAACTCAACATCGCTAGTGTGAACAGAAAAGTTGATGTTGAGAAGTTGAAAAATCGAGAAATTGATGTGTCGGGCAAAATCTATTTTGCTCGATTTTGCCCGACACTTTGTCATGAAATCGTGGAAGCGCTGCACGCTGATTGGCCAATTCCTACATGTAAAAATAGTTTCGCGTCGTCTCTGTCGCGGCAGCACATGAGACATAAAATGGCGCCCGACGATAAGGTGGAATTGAGTTGATTGAGAAGAAAGATTGTTTGTGGCGTGTAAACTCGAAAGAGTATCGTAATCGCAACCGAAAAGCTACGGAAATAAATAGCATCGCTGATGCATTGGAGTGGACCGGTGAGTTTGGCCAAATTTACGTAATAACCTATATAAAACTAGAAATATTTGACGACCAACTTTCATCAACTTCCAAAGACAAAAGTCTATAGTGTGTGAACAGACGTTACTGAAAGATTTTTTGATAAGAATTTGACAAATCTTTATAGAAGATGTTGAAAGATTTTACTTCAAAGATGTTCAAAGACAAAAAATCGCCAGTGTGATGTTTGGGTAACACTTCTGGGTCAAGTACGTTTTTTCTGTACAGCTAATTATGTGATTTTTTGGTTAGGCGCCAAAGTGAAAAAATGACAATATTGAAGTTTCAGAGCATAAATATTTATTAAGCAACCATAAACTTTAAAATTGCACTGAATTACATTGAATGAATATTACTAATAACTTTCTAGCATGATTTGTTGCCATAAACTTTGTTTCATGGTACGAAATGGCTACATTTTGCTAAATTTTAGCCAAAAAATAGCCAAAAATAGCGTTGACTTTGAAAGTAGCTCTAAGTATGATTGCTTCTCACTCACCCAATATTGTAGCTAGAGCTACCAAAATTGGCCAAAAGTTTCCTTATTAAGTGCTCGAAGTGACCCAATGTTCAAAATGATGCTTCCTTGCTCTATCTGGTGCACAGGGGAGCTATTGTAACTCAGGGTCAACCCTACCCCCAAATAGCGCCTTTTGCGAATTTCGTCAAATGATGATAATTCCGTAAGTAAGGGACATAGGAAGTGGATTTTGTGGCAACATATAGGTTTTTTGACACCAAGGAATTGATTGACACCATTATTATCTGCCAAAAGCGATAATTAAGACACGAATTGTCCCATAGAAAGATGATTGAAGGATATAAATGCATCATATAACTGTACAGGTGGACGCTTTAGTGAAAAATAATGCCTAGGTATAAACTAGTCTAAAATAGTCCTTGTTACCATACTCAGTTATTAATATATACAATGTATCTACCCTAACCGAACTTGAGACAAGAACAACTGAACCGAGCATGCTAGACAACATAGCAGAACCCAACCTAATCCTATCAAACAATTGGGTTTTTACAATCATGTGGTAATGTTTTCCTGCACTTACAAAATTTACCACATTTCACCCCAGCCTTTCTACATGGGCAAGTTGAACTTGAACACTTAGCACATGAACAGGAGACTGACCAATGAGGCTCGAGGGTTTTCCACGATGTTGCGGGTACCAGCTGTTCTTGGTCGTTCACATAGCCACAATCCTCTGGCTTCAGTGTCTTAACGTTTTCAGGGTCGAGGTGGCACTCCAAGGCATGGTTGATGGTGTAGGCATTGTAGAATGCACGCTTGATATGAGGCAGGAGTCCCTGACTAGTCGGTGGTAGGCTGTGGAGAGAGCCCTCTTTGCTGAAGTGGAAAACCTCTGCTCGATATTCAGAGAAACACTTAGCATTGCTACTGTCCGTTCTAGAGAAGGTGATCGCAAATATATACGTTTTTGTGGATTTTTTTTTACTTCCGCTTGACAATCGTCAAAGATGAGCTATTGCCATGGGGTGTCGCCGTCGTATCGTCCGTTACCTTCGTCCGTCCCGATCCGTTGCCGTCCCGTCTGTCACATTTGGACTACGGTCACCGATAATCAAGAACCGTTTGACCACACAGCGTTTCA